CATTGGGTATGGGCTCAGTCGTGTTCGCTCTTTGCAACCCCATGGACTGTAGCCCACCAGGCTCCTCTGTCCATGGCATTTCCCAGGCAAGAGTACTGAAGTGGGCTGCCATTTCCTTCTCCAGGGGGGTCTTCCTGACCCAGGGATTGAACCTGAGTCTCTTACGTTTCCTGCATTGGCAGGCAGGTTCTTTACCACTAGTGCCACCTGGGAAGCCCTTGTTTCCGTTAAATTCAGTCAATTAAAATTTTTTTTTCCATCTTAGCAACTTCTTTTGAAAAGGCAACCACATCTTGAATGATTAAATCAACATAACTGTTTTTCCACTGATACCTAGCTGAGACCTGTCACATCAGAGTACAACTTTCCCTTTACTAAATATGTACTGAAGCACCTGTTAATGTGCCAGGTATATGAAGTGGGCCAAATAAACATCATAAATAGCTTCATGGCAGCACAAGTCGGCTTTTATTGGCAAATCAGCTTCTGCAATCGGGAGTTCAGGGAGGTGTGGAAATGTGAGGAGAAAGACATTGAACAAGCAGTGACAGAGGGATAAATGCCATGAAGGAGGGTCTAAGGATGCTGGGCCAGTTTACACCAGGGAGTTTACCAAGCCTGGGATCGAGGAAGAGTACCCAGGAGGAGACTTGGGAGATGAGTTAATGTAACCAAGTGAAGGTGGCAGAGGGGTACCCAGTCTCCAGCCCATGGATGGTGACTGTAGGGGGTGGGGGGCAGCTCGCCACGGAGGGAACATGGATGCTCATCCACATGGGTGAGGTGTCAAGTGAGGTAACTGACAAGTTTCAAGCAAGGGAATAGCCCTCAGTTGACCTGAATTTTCAACAATCCCTCTCCGGCTGCCTTGACAGAATGAAGGGGATGGGGGAAAAACAACTAGGGATCTATTAAAAGAGTCCAGGTGGGGGGCTTCCCAGATGGTGCTAGTGGTAAAGAACCCGCCTCCCAACACAGGAGACATGAGACGTGAGTTCGATCCCTGGGTGGGGAAGATCCCCTGGAGGAGGGCATGCCAACCCATTCCAGCATTCCTGCCTGGAGAATCCCACAGACAGAGGAGCCTGGCGGGCTACAGCCCATGGGGCCGCAGAGTGGGAAAGGATGGAAGTGACTGAGCACGCATGCAGCTGAGCACTAGAAACTAAGATCCCATGAGCTGCACAGCACAGCCAGAAAGAGAATCCAGCTGGGAGATGGTGGAGGCTTAAAGCAAGGGGTGTCGGTGGAAATGGAGAGATTCAGGGATTTTTCGAAGAAACAAAACCTATAGGACCTAGTGATTTGTTCATAGGAGGTGAACAAGAGGAAGGCTCCTGAGTTTGCAGTTCAAACAATGAAATGGGTGGAGCCTTGTACTGAGGAGCAGTGTTAGGGGGTAAGCTGATGAGTCCAATTCCACGCTGCTTTTAAGGAGCCTGGAAGACATCGGGGGACGACTGTTCAGCTCTTGGATGTAGGTGAGAGACGCTAGCCTTGAGCCATCAGCAATAGGACAGCAATCAGCTAGCAACTGTGAGAAGAATGAAAAAACGCAGAGGTTCCAATAGAAGATGCAGAAGGCCAAATAGAAGTCCGAGGCTTAAGGGATGCGATGGTGGTAGAACAGACTGGCAAAGGTGACCCTGAAGGAGCAGCGAGAGAGGCAGGAGGCAAACAAGGCGAGTGTGATGTCACAGAATCAAGGTCAACGAAGACGCGGATGAGAAGCATCCCAGATTTGGGGACCGAGAAGTCATTCACTGGCTGCTTAAATGAGAGCATGTTCAGGGCAGGCGTGTGAGTCAGGAGTGGGTTGCAACGTGAATGGGGGTGAGGAAGTAAACCCCAAAGTACAGGTGACTTTTTCAAGACCCAGGGCCACACAAGGAAGACGAGAGGAAGATGGTGTGTTCTGGAGGAGGATGAAGAGATGAGGGGCAAGTTTGTTTTGTTTTCAGCTGAGACGACTGGGGACATCTCAAAGTTGATGCGGATGAGCCAGTAAAGAAGGGACAGTTAGGGATGGAGGAGAGGAGGGTAATCATGAATAACAGAAGGTTCCGGAGAGAGCAGAGGGGCTGGGATCCCCAGGGGAGGGGAGGGCTGACCTCGTATTGGAGGAAAGACGCTGCTTCTCTGGGGACAGCAAGAGAGAGGATGGGACAGCTGCCTGCAGGCTTTTAGGGATCTCGGTAGGGGAGTGAGACGGCGCGTCCCTGATGGTGTGTAGCTGAGTGAGCTCTGAGCGTGAGGCAGGGGTGGGGGTGGGGACAGAGGGGAGCAGGGGAGGGCCAACAGAACAGAAGAGGACAGCAGGGGCGTGAGCAACAGGGGTGGTACGCCGGGGCCAGCAGGAGTGGAGGCACGTGCACCCCCAGTGGCCCGGCTCTGCCTGGGTGCAGAGGGCAGCTGGCAGGGGCGTCAGGACAACGAGGCAGGGGCGTTTGGGGTATTGCTAGGGGAGTTGTCATTGGAACAGGCCACAGAATGTAAGCTGGAGAGAGGTAACCACAAGCAGGGAAGCGCCAGTGGTAGGGACAGAGTCACAGGCATTTCTCAGTAGAAGTGAGCGAATCTGAAGCAAGAAACTCGTGGGGCACCGAAGATGCTCAGAGGCCTGGGCCATCAGGGAGCACAGGGCCTAGTGGGAAAGTAGATAAGGGAATGTGTACGTGATCAGGAACATCTCTGCTGGATTAACCTCTTGCCAAGACCAGACCTGCACCCGGGAAAAGGGAAAGAAATGCAAAAAGGAGCCTGGGGCCTGGGGTGGAACCATAATAACCCTACTTCTTTGTGCAAAGAATTAAGAATCTTAAGAGTTTTCTAGAAATCCGGCTATGAACTCTCACTAAAGAGGCGTCATTCTTATAATGCATGACAGCAAAGAGACACCCTTGAAGACACCCTCTAGAGGAAGCAGGACACTACTCAGTACAACTTGGGATTTAGCTTTGAATTCTGACTTGCCATATGATGTAATAACATAATCTCTAAATACATACAAAAGGATGAAACTAGAACATTCTCTAATACCATACACAAAAACAAACTCAAAATGGATTAAAGAGCTAAATGTAAGACAGGCTACTATAAAATGCCTAGAGGAAAACACAGGCAGAACACTCTTTGATATAAATTTCAGTAATATTTTTTTGGATCCACCTCCTATTGTAGTGAAAATATAAACAAAAATAAACAAATGGGACCTAATTAAGCTTAAAAACTCTTGCCCAGCAAAGGAAACCATAAACAAAATGAAAAACAATCCACAGAACAGGAGAAAATATTTGCAAATGCAGCAACTGACTCCAAAATATACGAATCGCTCAAGTAGCTCAATATCAAACAAACAACCCAATCAAAAAGAGCAGAAAATCGAAATAGACATTTCTCCGAAGACATACAGATGACCAATAAATACATGAAAAGATGCTCAATATCACTAGTTATTAGAGAAACACAAACTTAAACTTCAATGAGGTATCACTTCACACCTGTCAGAATGGTTATCATCAAAAAATCTATAAATAATAAATGCTAGAGAAGGTGCAGGGAAAAGAGACTCCTCCTACACTGTTGGTGGGAATGTAAATTGGTACAACCACAGGGAGAACTGTATGGAGATTTCTTAAAAAACTAAAAATAGAACTACCATGTGACCCAGCAATCACACTCCAGGGCATATATCTGGAGCAAACTGTAATTCAAAAAGATATATGCACCTCAACGTTCATGTAGCACTATTCACAATAGCCAAGACATGAAAGCAACCTAAACATCCATCAACAGAGAGATGGATAAAAAAGATGTGCTACATATCAAACCAGCCAATCCTAAAGGAAATAAACCCTGAATACACATTGGAAGGACTGATGCTGAAGTTGAATTGGCCACCTGATGCAAAGAGCCAACTCATGGAAAAGACCCTGATTCTGGGAATGATTGAAGGCAAAAGGAGAAGAGGGCAGCAGAGGTTGAGGTGGTTGGATGGCATCACCAATTCAATGGACATGAACTTGGGCAATCTCTGGGAGAGAGAGACAGAGAGCCCTGATGTGCTGCAGTCCTTGGGGTCACAAAGAGTTGGACATGACTTAGTGACTGAACAACAACAATATATATACATTGGAATACTACTCAGCCACAAAAAAGAATGAAATAATGCCATTTTGCAGCAACATGGATAGGCCTAGAGATTATCATCCTAAGTGAAGTAAATCCAGAAAAAGACAAATATCATATGATATCACTTATATGTGGAATCTTAAAAAATGATACAAATAAACTTATTTACAAAGCAGAAAACACACCTACCAACTTTTAAAACAAACATATGGTTACTAAAGTGGAAGGGTGGCGGGAGGATAAATTAGAAGTTTGGGATTAACATGTATACACTCTATATAAAAAAGATGATCAACAAGAACCTACTGTATAGCACAGGGAACTCAGTATTCTTTAATAACCTGTATGGGAAAAGAATCTGAAAAGAATGGAGATAAATATATATATGTAGCTGATTTATTTTGCTGTACACCTGTATCGAACACAATATTGTAAATCAGCTACACGCCAATATAAAATAAAAGTTAAAGAACAAACATACCTAAAAAATAAAATACAATGTAGTAATAGCTGAAGTTTATCAGTGCTTCCTACATGCCAGGCACTGTGCTAAGAAATGTACACACTGATTTCACTTAATTCTCACAACTCTCTGAAGCAGATACTCTTATCATCCCCACTTTATTGGTGGGCAAACCGAGACCTGCAGCAGTTAGTTAGCAGTGAGCTGGGTATGCTTACCAATATTCTTCATTTTTCAGACAAGGATGTTAACATCATTTGGCACATTATGAGGAGCGAACCATAAAAATGATGGCACAGTTCATAGAAAATCAAGTTCATCTAAATTCAAAAGAGTAATTTTGATTGCATGAAGATACCAATTTCATTAAAAAAAAAAAAAAAGGTTTTAAAATCGCAATACCAACCTATACTTCTCCGAATTAGCATGCACTCCTTCTCCTTGGCAGAAAACTGGCTTCGGCTTGAAACGCCCAAGTCAAAGCAGTATTTATTCCTCCCCATGTCAAACAAAGTGCAGTTGAATACTGTTCTCCTCTCTCCCAAGGCCAGGCTGTTTTCAGCCAGCCGATTGGTCCTCTCCCCGGGGAGTCTGGGGGCTTCCTTGAAGACGGCGATCACCCCCTGGACGAAGACGCACGGCGGGGGCAGCACCGTGACCTCCACCCCGGCCTCGCAGGTGAGCTCCGGCTCCATCACCAGTTTGTACCCAAACTTCTGGGCCAGGTCAATGGGGCCTGTGGACGTGATGACCGAGTCTCGGCCCAGCAGCTTCAGCACCACGGTGACCGTGACGTAGGCTTCCGGCCCCACGGGGGCGCAGTCGAACTCAACCCACTGGCCCTGAGCGAGCTCCACCCGCTTGCTGGCCCTAATCTCCAGCGGCGGGGCCTGACCCGCCCTCGCCTCCGGGAGGCTGTTGGTGAAAGTGACGTCCAGCAAGATGTCAGGCTTGTCCCCGGGGAACGGGCACAGCGGCTGACTGGTGAAAAGGCCCACCTGGAAGGTGCCTTCGGCCGCCTTGGACGTCCTGCTCAGGTCAACGCGGAAGACGGGCCATTCCACCTTGAGAAAGGCGCTCCTCTCCCTCGAGGGGGTCGGGGGGCTGCTGTTTGTCGCTTCCCGGGTCATCACGAACCAGTAGTCGCCGGCCTCCTTGAAGTAGAAGCATTCAAACTCGAGGGTCTCCTGGGACTGGTTGGTCAGGACGTATTTGGTGGTAAGAGTCCGGTTGGAGCTGGCCTCCACCAGTAGCACAGAGACATTCCTCAGCGTCCCGCTGGCGCCATGGAAATCCACAGTCACCGTACTGTTGCTTAGCGCTACATGGCCCGGCTCCCCCAGCACGAGATGCTCAGCCTCTCCAAGAACTGAAAGGAAATGGTACAGTGAGCTTTCAAAAGGGACATCTGAGCGGCAGTACCGATGACATCCATGAAAACAGCATCTTAGACACAGGAGAAGTTTGAACGGCGCCAAGGATGACATACGATGATGTTGAGTGCTAACCCTGGGAGCTGGGTCCTGAACCTCTTCCATTCTAAAATGGCTCAGGTCCTCCATCTCCATCTTTCATGGTTCTTGTTCAAAATAATGAATGGGTACTCTGAATTCTCAACAGTCAACAATGGAATCTATCTGCGAAGAAAACCTAATAAGGCAAGTGTAACAACTAATTCTCATGATAAAAATCCAACACTTCACTGTGCTCACTTTAGTCATATTGTAGTATTTAGGTATTTGCAGGAAATAGGTTTACAGTGAGGGCTTCCCCAGTGGTTCAGTGGTAAAGAATCCATCTGCAATGCTGGAGACACAGGAGGCGCAGGTTTGGGTCAGGAAGATCCCCTGGAGGAGGGCATGGCTACCCACTCCAGCACTCGTGCCTGGAGAATCACATGGACAGAGGAGCCTGGCGGGCTACAGTCCATGGTTGCAAAGAGTCGGACATGACTGAGGCAACTTAGCACGTGCGTGCGCACACACACACACCCCCACAGGTTTACGGTGAAGTGAAAGAAAGCCTGATTCAAATGATATAATATGAAGTACTCTAGATGACTTAACATGGACGACTCTAAATATACAGTTGATGTTTGAACAACATGGGTTTGAACTGCAAGGGTCCACTTACGCACAGATTTGTTCCAACAGTATATAGTAACAAGATGATCTGTGGTTGGCTGAATCTGCAGATGCAAACAGCAGATATGGAGTGCCAACTATAAGATATATCAGGATTTTCAACTGTAAAGAGGATCAGACTCCTTAAACCCCACATTGTCCAATGATCAGCTGTACCTGTAAGTTACTGCTTTCTGACATCCAAGACAAGTGTGTCAGTACTTTTACCAGTAAAGAAAGTGCCTTTTGTTTGTATAAGGCAGAAATTTTAAGATGAATACGAAATGTTGACATTCTATCCTACATGGATTAATCCAGGGGACAGAGTGAACATTCATGGAATAGCTAAGCATGTCCTTGGTGATTTTAATGACATTAGAGTAACAGGCCTAGACAAGATAGATGACTACTAGCCCAAAAGTATCCCTTAGTTAGGATAATCATATCTTTTTTTTTAAAAAGAGACCCACTGTAGCAGCTGAAGTAAAAAGCAGAAAGAACACAGACACACAAGAATCCTTGTTTCTATTTTGAACCCTATCCAAATACATACCAGAAGAGACAGAATTTGGCAATACAACAATCAACTGGCCTGTGGCTAGGGTAAGAAGCATTCTAGATTTAAGAAAGTGCAGTGCCCTTTGATTTGAAAAACAACATGTGTAAGTAGGAATTTGTAAGTCTTCTTATATATACATGATAATACAATATATTAATATAATAACAATAATTATGTATGTCATATATGCCCAAAGGACCTCAATGTGTTGGCTGAGCTGGTAGTCCTTAAATACATTCAATCTACAGCAGAGACTGACATAGCATTGTAAATCAACTATACTTCAATAAAAAATAAAATAAATTCACTTGGCTATACAGCAGAAAACAATCAACACTGTAAATCAACAATACTCCAATAAAATTTTTTTAAAAAGAAAAAGTAGACTATTCAAGGATATTAAAAAATGGTTATTAGAATCAGCACATGAAATACTGTCATATGAAGGTTTGTTTGATCACCTCAGCACTTCATTCATTTCTTATTTAAGATGAGGTGAAATAAAATGTATAAAACTTGGATCGATCTGGACACTTGAAAGACCACAATAGTTTCTGTTTTTTTTCATCAACATACACATTGAGGAATACTCCCTCAATAATAACTCAGAGTTAAGGAAGGCAGTTGCTTTTCATGCAGCTTCTGTGCAGGTTCAGAGCTGACCTCCAGTGCTCACTGCAGCCCAAGGAAGGAGTAAGGACTGGGAACAAAGCTTATATTCATTTGCATCTGATGGGGCAGAATGGTTCTGTGATGCATTTTAACACTGAGAAGCACACCACACTTAGTTAATTAATGAAAACCTATTGTCAAGGATACGGTTACCACAGAGGCAGATCAGATTCTGATTTGCTGGGCAGCTAGTCAATGAAAGAGACACACATGTCCCTTTGGAAATGGCCAAGAAAGAGACAACTGATGAGTCTCAACAGCAGCAGATAGAAGGTGTGTATTGAAGAGGGAACTGGTTTCTCCAGGCAAGAGTATATTCTCATTTAGAAAACTACCATTTGGTCATACCATCAAACTGACTACTACAGTTCAGTTTTCTCCATTCATTCATTTCCTCTCTCCCATTCTTTTAAAGGAACTGGTGTCTCAATATAATCATGTGGATTTCAAAAGAAATCTAACTGTTAATGGTGTATTTTGATCAATTTCAAATGGAGAAGGGGTAAAACCCCACATGTATGAAAATACCTCCATTTTTAGTAGCAGCCTTTGCACTCAACTTTTATGCTTTATTTTCTGCTCAATCAACTTTTTTATGTACTGGTAAAATATTTTGTTCTCAACAATAACAAACATCCTTGCAGACTATTTAAATAGAAATTTTTCATGTCCTTCTCTTTATGAAACAAAGTACCCTTTTATGGTTTTTTGAATAAGGCTGTCAGATGCAGAGCAATGTTTTCCCCAGTGGCTCAGTGGTAAAGAATCTGCCTGCAATGCAGGAGACAACAGGAGACACAGGTTCGATCCCTGAGTTGGGAAGATCCCCTGGAGAAGGAAAGAGCAACCCACTCCAGAATTCTTGCCTGGAGAATCCCATGGACAGAAGAGCCTGGCAGGCTACAGTCCATGGGGTTGCAAAGAGTCAGACACAACGGAAGCAACTGAGCATGCACGAGTATGCACACAAAAGACTTTAGAAGAAATGAATCCCAAGGATTTCCCTGGTGGTCAAGCAGTTAAGACTCAGAGTTTCCACTGCAGAGGGTGTGGGTTCAATCCCTGGTTGGGGAACTAAGATCCCACATACTTCGAGGCACAGTCAAAACAAAACAATAAACAAAAACAAAACTAAAAGACAGTACACACACAAGTGTATAATACTGAAACACTAGGAAATCAATCAAAGTGAGGGCAACATGCTTGTCTCTGACTTGTGAAATGAAAGTGAGTTTAAAAAAAAAACTTTAAAATATTTAAATGAAATTTGAATTAATAATGCAGAACCTTAAGAGAACCTAGGGTTGTAGGTTTAAAAGGCACTGAACTGGAGTCCCTGCCCTGCCTCCTTCATGGAGAGGCATCAACATTCAGGCATTTAAAAACCTCCCATTTCTGTTTCTTCACTGGGACCCACAGCACAGGTGCACTCAACACTTACCATAGTCACAGAGCACCACCAGCAATAGATTTGAAAAGTCTTTCAATGTTTGTTTCATTCTGATCAGCAAAATCCCAGGTCTTTGGTCTCCTCATGTCCTTTCTCACATCCGAATGGCAGAGTCTTCTTTCAAAAACACCTGCAAGAAGCACCTCAAAGAAATATTGGCTCTGTTCAATGTGATTCATAAAATACTAACCCTGAGATGACAAAACCATTCTAAGAAGTCAGACTTCCTAGTTAATACTGAAAAGAAAACAGGAAGGACATTACTGTTGCCCCCAGGGAAATGATCGGTAATTATACACGTTCCTTTCATTATAGCTCACCTGCTAAGAACATTCAGGTCTGCCCACACCAAGACTTTCTCTGCAAAACACCAAGTCTTTATTCTTTATAGCGGACCCTTAAGTGGAGAGTTGGTTGCTCTTTGCTTAATTTTATTGAAGTTCATAGCCAACCTTGATAATATATCTTTGCATACTTATATGCATGGCATAGCAGGCTAACCAACTGACTGACATTTTGCCAAATTTTTGCATCTGTTGTGTAGACCTGCCTTGCTTCCACAAATGGGCTTATATTAACATTGTCTGTCTTACACAATTGGTATGTTATCTGGATTGCTCCATTTCTTAATGCCTAGGAGCTATATCAAAATGATTAAGCCTTTTAAAAAAAAAAGAAAGATACTCAGATTATTGCAATTAAATGTGAACTCCATGTGGCCCTGACTTCCCTTGGTTAGGGCATTCTAAAGACAAAACAGCTATCATCTTTGGCAGCCTTCCAATACTTGTTGCTACTGGCTGGCATGCATCAGATGTATGATTTCAGGCAGCAATCTTCCCAGACCACCTAGGAGGGCAGGGAAGACCTTGATGGCCCATGGTTCAGAATGATTTATGAGCAGTGGCACTTACTTTGATATAAACAGACTACTACACAACAGAATGAGATGCAGGGCATTTAAGAGCCAGTTTTTCTCATACTTGAGTCTAGGAAACTATTGGATACTAAACATTACCAAATAGATACCTTCTTAATATCTATATTCCCCCATAATGCACAGTTAATCTTTTAGTAAGCTTTTAAAAGGCATATTATATTCAAAATATATGTATGTCACATCCCTTCAGATAAGGCAGGAATTAAGGGAATTAAGAAGACTGATTGGAATAATCAGAAATTTGGTGGAAAGGAAATAAGTCTGTCTCTATTAGTTTTCTCTCTGTAGGAGCTGGTTGAGCAAAAGGAAATGCTGGACTTCCTCAAAGAGAAGCAGAGATATGAAGTGTAATCATGCAGACAATTAGGGCTCTCGCCCTCTCCAAAAACAATCAAAAAAGAAAATTCAGTTTTGTTGGAATTAGGCAGAGATTTGACCCAATCCTTTCCTTTTACATGAATTGGGAAACCTGGCCAAAGACAGCAGATGAGCATCATTGTATCTCTGGGGCAAGGGTGGGCACATAGGGCAATTAAAATGCTTCCCTTAAGTCATTGATACTCAGTAACCAAAGTAACAAGAAACAAGCAATCTCTGGCCCCCAAAAGTGGAACTAACTCCTCCCAAACTGCTTGTTTCCGCCTGACAAACAGGCTTCCCTGGTGGCTCAGATGGTAAAGAATCCACTGGCAATGCAAGAGACCTGGGTTTGATTCCTGGGTTGGGAAGATCCCCTGGAGAAGGGAATGGCTACCCACTCCGGTCTTCTTGCCTGGAAAATCCCATGGACAGAGAAGCCTGGCGGGCTAGTCCATTGGGTCCCAAAGAATTGGTCGGCAACTGAGCAACTAATACATCACCATGCCACGACAAGCATTTTCAAAGAAGTTCTTAACAACTGATTTTCTGATTGTTACACATTTTCTTTCTTATGAAAAAGTTCAGTAAAATGGAATAGTGATAATCTATATTTAGAATTGCGTGGAAATGAAATTATAAAATAATCCAGGCTATCTGAAACAAGGCTGGTTTATAAGACATAATATGGTTTGCATACTATGGATTTTAAAAAAATACTCTCAAGCTTTTGAAAATGAATGCTGATTTTTTCATTAATATGAAGATGTAAACAAAGCACCCTAGAATGTCATGGAATACTGGGTTATAAAAGCACTACTTTTTTTTTTTTTTAAGAAAACAGTGAGCTACTTTAATTTGCTTTGAACCTTGCTTATTTTCTTTCAACAGGTGTTCCCAATACCATGACTGGCTACTTACAGTGTTTGGCTTGATAATCGTTTTTTGAGAAAATAAGAACTTGAGCATCCTTTATACACATTTAAAGAAAAGAAAAGTATATAGAGCATTCACACACAGAAATGTTTAGACATTCTAAACATAGCAGCTACAGGGTAGGGGCAAGTTGTGAATATTCTCAGTGGCTAATCAGGACTGAAGCGATTTAGCATCAGCAGCAGCAGTGACATGACGCAGAACTCAGATCCCAGTACTTTTGCTGAAATCTGCTAAGATAAATGCTTATCTGTCCCCTAGGGCGTCTTCAGAACTCAGAAAAAGAAACTGAAGTACGCTGAGGTTCAGGAGACCAATGACTTAAGAAAGAATAAAAGGAAAAGTGATCCTGTCCCTTCTGACAAACATGCACACGCTCGTGTGGACGTCTATTTATATTTATTAAAAGGAAATTCCTAAATTCCAAGCAGGTTGCCTTTATGTATTCGGCCGAGTCGGCGGTGCCTGGTCCCCGCGTCCACCCAGCTTTCCCCAGGCCCGCAGGTCAAGGTCACGTTTGGAAACCTAAGGCGGCCGGTGTCCTTAGCCCAAAGTCCTCCTAAAACGGCACTTATCTCATACTACTTGTATCCCACAAAGGATTTCTTTCTGGAAAGACGCAAGCCTGTTCTGAAACGCAGAATATCCCAGAGGCTGATTTTCGGGGGTCCCAAACTCTCCGGACTCAACGCCCATCTATCTGCGTGCGGTCAGCCTGGGTCCCTCGGCTACGCCTGCGCCAGGTGCAGGTTGAAGTTGGGACTCGGAGAGGCGGAGACGACACTTTCTGGGTACGTGGAGGGGACGGTACGCGGCGGGGAGGGTGGGGCGGCAGGGTCCAGGGACCCTCCGGGGACCCCGCGGCGGGGGCGCACCCCAGGTCGCCTCCGGAAGGTCCCTCTTACCTCTGGGACGGGCGGGCGGGACGGCGAGGCGGGCAGAGGGCGAGCGACTTCACGGGCGGCGAGGCAGCTGGCGGAGCATCCCGCGTCCCGGGACTGCGCCCGGAGCCGCCGCGCTGCTCCCGCAGCCCCGCCCGGGACCGCCCCCGACGGCGCGGGGAGGGCGGCACCCGGCGGGCGGGGACCTCCCGGAGCCCGCCAGGACCGCCCCGCCCGCTCCGGGCCGCGCATCCTTTCCTGCCCGCGCCCGGCTGGCCAGGAAACCCGGCAGGAAACGCGCGGCCGGCCGGGGCCTGCGGAGAGGCGGCGCGGACCCCCATCTCGCGCCCCAGAGCCGGGTTTGAGGGCGAGCCGCCTTGTCTCCCGGTATTTGCGATCCAGTCTCTTCTCCTCCGCCCCCTCGTCATTATCTTCTGGGGGACCAAGAGGCAGTCATTGAAATTGGCTGTAAGCTTGGTTTCCCAGACGTCGGGGAAGAGCTTCAAAAGAGAAGAGCTCACGAAGGTGCCTCTACGTTTTTCTCCGGAGCCAGAAGTGGTTATTTACATTAAAAATAACGTTTTAAAAACTCGAATCCGGAAGTGTTCAAGTTGTGTTTTTAAAACAATAGAAGATAGAGTTCCACCTTAACAGCCGGGCTTGTTTTTGAATAGTGTAATGTGCAAGACAGTTTATCATTAGCATACCAATGTGTGGTAACGGAAATCGGAGCCCAGATTTGGTGGTTCCTGGGGAGCAGGTGATTGGAACGAGGCTCCAGGAATCTTTGGCGGGGGCAGGGGGGGCGTGTGCGGAGTGGGGATAGATAACATTCTGTTGGTTGAGGTGTGAATTATATGGATTCATTATGTATTTGTCAAAACATTCAACCTAAGATCCGTGCATTTCACTGTTTGTAAAATTTTCCTCTATTTTTAACTCAGAAATGTACCATTTGCAGGTCCTTGAATCTATACTTAACCTTTTAAAAGGTAGCCCAATTATTCGGTTGTCAGAGCTATCAGAGGTACCAAATTTGCAAAGCATTGTACAGATTCAGTCCAGCCAAAGATTCACAAAAGGCTTTAATGTGTGGAATGAAAAAAATATGCAGTGTGAGAGTTGTGAGTTGTTTTTATTTGGAGCAAAATGAGGACTAAAGCCCAGGATTCACCTCTCAGATAGCTCTGAGGAAATGCTCCCAAGAGGTAGGGTGAGAGGTCTGTATATATACCTGGTTTGTGCTAGTCACCAGGCTCAGATGTCTCTGTTAATAATTTTAGTGCTATTCTAGATATAAGAGGCAAGAAACTGAGCTCATAAAATCTTCCGAAAAATACCTAACTATCTGAAGGCCTGTTCTGCCATTGTTTCCCAACGCACATGCGTGCGTGCATGCTGTTGTGTCTGACAGTTTGTGACCCCATGGACTGTAGCCCATCAGGCTCCTCTGTCCATGGGATTCTCCAGGCCAGAATACTGGAGTTGGTTGCCATGCCCTCCTCCAGGGGATCTTCCCGGCCCAGGGATCTAACCCCCATCTCCTGCGTCTAGCTTCCTGCATTGGCAAAGCTGATTCTTTACCGCTGCATACCAGGGTAGCCTTCCAGGGCACAGTGTCATTCCTGATCTCCACCTTAAACTGCTTTCAAGGGTGTGTTAGGGTCAGTGATTGCAGGGACAGGTGACCAAATCCTTGCAGAGGCAGGTGGCAAGTGACAATTTTTAGTTGTCAAAGGTCACCATCCAATTTCACAGTCAGAATTATCTAGTCCAACATCTATCTATTCATCAACCAAGTGAGAACTCCTTTTAAATACATGCCACAAGCCCTGCCATTTTTGGTTTTGAAAGCAAGAGCTCATTTTAAGAGTGGGAGTTAAATGCAGCAGAAATAAAGTCCAGCCTTGCCTCCATAACCTTGGGCAAATACTTAACCCCTCCTTTCCTCCACTGTAAAAGACATCTAACATAGTTATACTGAAGTTTTGTGCTGATTGAGTGAAATGTATAGAAAGCAACTTGCTCACTGTTGATCTCTCAGACACACACTCTTCCTAGAAACCCACTCTGCCTCAATCGATGTGCAAGGGCCTGGGATCAATGTGCTTGGTCAATTTTTAAATAAGAGCATTATTGAGATGTTTGGTCATTTTTGCTTTAATTTGAATTCTTGCCAAACTGTTTACTAGACAGTTAAGACAGTTTAATCCTTTCTAAAAAGAAGGCACCAGAAATTTAAAGGAAAAAAGCTTTCAAAAGAACCGTGCTATGGTCTTAGCTGTATTAAACTAAAACAAGCTGGCTGACAAAGATATCTTGAGTAAGTGACTGGTCAAGAGATCTTTTGCAAATTGTGTAAAATGTGTTCCTTATCTCAATAACACCCTTTATATAAATAGGGAGATTTTTTTCCCCTAGATAACACTCTGAGAGACAAGCTTTAACTGACTCGTGATTATTAGAGCACAAGAAAGAAAATGATTGACCCAACTGTCACATTGTGAAAATAAGACCTTACGTGTGTGCTAATATAACTTTTCTGGAATGCTTCCCACATCATGGAACTGGCCCATGTCATGGAATTTGAATAAGACAGTGTATCTCGGACAGGCCGAGCCCGGACAAGTGTGGATAAGAAGCCTCTTAGAAAGAGGGTAAAGGACACAGACTAAGGTTTCAGACTCAACTCAAGACACATTATAATTCAAAAGCCACTCAACTGAGTGAATACTTAACTAGGAATCTACCATGTACAATCACTGATGTAGGTCACTGGGAATTCCAAAGAGGTGTTATGTGATATTCCTTATAACTTAAAGAAATCTAATTTCTCTGTTTTCTTACGGCATCGAGATAACAGAGAACAAGATAAAAGACAGTCGTGTTGCGTTGGCTAAAAAGTTCATAAGAGCTTATGGAAAAACCCAAATGAACTTTTTGACCAATCCAATATATGGTTAACTGGGCTTCGGAATAGTAGAGTTGTGTCCTGGAAACAGATTTTTCTAGAGCAGGTGGGAACGAGCAAAGTATGGTTTTGATTATTAGGGTTGGGGTGGGTGGATGGGAGGAAATAACAAAGGGACGTCTGAACAAGGACAGTGTGGCCCAGGAAGAGGAAGGGCCAGACCTCCTGTTGTTCCCTGACCCAATGCCTTCCCCTGACCATCTCTTGAGCCTAGTGGATCAGCTCCTCCTCTCCCACCAGACCTTCTCAGACTGTCCTCCATCAGAACAGAAGCCTCCCTCCTCTGTCCTCCAAGCATGGCACCCATGCCCCTGCCCTGGCACAGACTTCATTCCTATCTTCGGTTAAGGCTGCTCACATGTCTATTTCCCAGTGAGGCCACCCTCTTAAAAGCAGGGGCTGCATCTTATTCACTTCTGTATCCCCCAGTGGCCCAGTTCCTCACACAAAGTCAACAGGTATTCAAAAATGTTTCTTTTTATTGAATTCAATGAGAGATGAAAGTAGGGTGAAGTGAAGCTCATTTATAAACAGGCACACATATTGGAAGTCACTCATTGGGTAGTCATTTTATTGGATGCTTACTGTATGCCAGGCCTCACTCTAGGCTCTGAGGGCACACCCATGAACAAAGCAGATAAAACTCTCTGCCCCCGTGGAGCTGACACTTAAGATCTATCATAAGGAGTAGGATCTGCAAAACATTTACATAAATTCAACCATACCTATCAGCATAGTGAAAAAAAAGGGGGGGGAAAAGACACATTTAAGTACTTTAGTTATTGGTACTACAAAAGTCTACTGTTGATATGTAGTCTTCTATTATATATTTTACTTGCTATAGTCATAAAATATTCATAGCCATGTATCACTTTACAGCTTGTAAGATTATATAGAGAACTTTATTGGCAATTTCAGAGATTTTTCACGGATCATTTTGAGCATGCTTAATTCCATCCTTAAGCACAGTCCTTAAAACCTACCCATCTTATAAGTTATGACTCTACTGTATCAGATGGAAACTTGAAGGTTGTTGGGCAAGGAAGAACCATTCTAAGTATCTGAGCATGAGAATAATGACATGATAAATCCATGTCTGGTTGGCTTAGTCTGGTAACAGGGAACAAGAGATAGTACCTTCACATAAATACACATGGTCAATCAACAGTGGAATTCACATCAAGAATTAAAAAAAATAAAAAAGAACAGTTCATGAGTCATTTCCCATTTTTTTAAGACAGCTAAACTAGTAAGACCTTGAGGTCAAAAATATTTATAATCAACTCGATCATAAAATCTAAAAGAAAAAATCTTAACATACAGGCTTATTCTGACTAAACCTTTATCACTTTCATACATTTTTCAAAGAGTATTTAAAAAGAACACCAAGTTAAAAATCATTTTTAAATTTTGCAATAATTTTACTCTATATACATTAATACCAATCATTTAACCCTGAAAACATTCTTCACTTGTACAATGTAAAAAAATTGGACAGTATGTGACTAGAAATATTCCATTATCATAAAGCTACAGATTTGTGCTCCAAAGAACAAAGTTAGAAAGCAAAAATAATAATATAACAGTGATAAGCACCAAGAAGACAGAACTTTTTTGCACTTAGGGCCTGACTGGTTGTATTTAAACATAACCTCTACCAACAAAGGAACGAAAATGACACCTTATTTGGCAAAAACAAAACAAAAAGAACAAAAATATACATATAGAGGTCTGGAAACAGTGAAGAATGTCCACTTTAAAACAATAAAATCAATCATACCTGTTTTTTAATTAATGTGACATTTGCAAAACTAGATTCATGTCACTTTAGTTCACTTTATATAATTCAGACTGCTCCATTTTTGTTAATGTGTAGTATAAATAAATATGCTGACTCATGGGAGTCTGCTGTAATGAATAAACACCATTAGAGCTAGAAGACCCAGTAGCTCTAATAATCTTAGTTGCAACTCATTCCAACTGGTGAAACAGATTATTTATCTGTGTAATTTTTAAAAACCTTGGCCAGATGCGATATGGAGTGAATGAGATGAGTGTGTGTGTGTGAGAGAGACAGAGTGCTTCCCAGACAGGAGTGACATGCAAACAACCATACATAATGGCTCCAAAGACTTGGGCAGCCAGACACTGAATTTCCCCCCAAACAAACAAGA